TATTAGAAAATCGAAAAAACTCAATTTTTTAAAAAAAGTAAAAAAGGGCTGTTTTAATTGATAACACCCTATATAATTAAAGTATTTTAAATATTTGATTTGATATTTAATATAATTTAATTTTTTTTTTTTTTTTTTTTTGTCAAACCAAAAAATAAGTTAATGATTTCGATACTTACGCACTAAATTAATATGATTAAAGTTGTTTAATGGACGTAAATGAAACCTTGTATATTAATAACGTTTTTATATACTCACAGGCTAAAATGTATAGTTTAACGTAATATTTTAATTATTAAGTATTATAGGAACCATAGATGGTAAATGATTTGACTGTTTAATCAAATTTAGGCAACTCTGAGTCTAAATTACGATTAAATAGCTAATATATAAAAATCTACTATATGAATAATTGTAAAAATACACGTTATTTCTCAGACTAACGCTTACTCAGCTTGTAGATTAGGCCCTTATATTTCATTTTGACTTTAAATTATACCTTATATACATGCACATCCGAACTCTTCGCTTAATTTAGGACAAGAATAATTTGGCGCACGCGTTAATCTGATACACAACATATATCAAAGCCAAAAATTACTAAATAAACGATTTTGTTTACATACTACATTTAATCGTAGAGATTATAATTTTTTTTGCATAAATATAAACTGAAATGAGTTTTAATTAATCGTTAAAATTTTCAGAATATATATATATATATATATATATTGCCATTGCCAAGACATTGTATCGATTTATTTAGTGAAATTTTGAGTTTTATATATGGGCTATTGCCAAAGGAAATAGGGCAGATTGACATTTAAAAAACCATCGTAACTTTCATAGCTTAAACTTAATTAATTTGGAAGCTATTTTGATGAATTAGTATTCAAAAGAAAACTTATATCTTAAGCTTTCTTTTGAAAATTAATTTATCAAGATAGTTTCAAAATTCATTGAGATAAGAGCTATAAAATTAAGATTGATTTTTTTTAAAATGTCAATCTGCCTTATTTCTATTGATGGCAGTCCATATAGTTACAATTATCATTTATGTTCTGTAAAGATAATTTCTGCCTAATGATCAATTTGACTAAAAGAATAAATAATCAGACATTAAATACCCTTTTATAGATAGTATTTTTCAAATTTAAATATTTGATGTTTAACTTGATCAAGTATTCAAACTTAAAATTTGTAAACTTTCTTAGTAAATCCCTGAGTTCTGAAACTTCTAAAACTTCAGTCAAAAATATGCTAATATCCACTTTATCAAATTTGATACTTTTTTTATTTGAATTTTGCAGTTCTGTAGAATTCAAATAAAAAGATTTTAATAAGTTGTTGCCAAAATACCTTTTAATTGAAGTTTTAAAACTTTAAGACACCTTAAAAATTTTACTAAAGAAGATTACAAAATTTAAAAGTTAAGTATTTAAACAAGTCGAATATTTTCAAATATTGAAACTCAAATTTTGATTTTAATTGGAGCATTATTCATAGAACATTATGTTTTGTAATTAGCAATGATTTTGAATTATTAACTCAGGTCATTTTCATTTACCATCATTAAAAGAACTGATTTTAGCATCGTATGTTATGTGGATGGATAATAGTCATAATACTCACAGACTAAATTAGCATAAATAAATATTGTTAGATTTAGTTAAAAATATGTGGTTCAATAAATGATTTCGATACTTACAAACTAATTTAAATAATAATGGATAAATATATATGATGCACAAATTACTGATTTTATAGCTTAAAAAATTTTTCTTTATACTCATATACTCACCGACTGAATTAATATTTCAATTAGGTAAAAATGTAGAATAAGTTTGTAGATCATTGCATTAATGTGGTGTGGAAGATCATTGTGAAATCGGATCATTGTGAAATTTATGTGATTTTTAAAAATTTTTAGGGCCTTTTTTTGTTAGCTTTTTCTAAATAGTTTAGAGTTAGGGATATTAGTAAAAAAGTATAGGTGAATTTTGGTAGAGCTTATATTTTTAAATTGAGACCCAAATTTCACAATGATCTGACTTCATTATGATCAGTCACATTTAATACTTACTCGCTAATCCCGTAATTACATGATATGAATTAGTACATAATGATTACAGTACAGAGAAACATATTTATAAAAATCTTATCTGAATTTTTCTATAGGTAGTGTTGTGCACGAGAATGCTGAGACAAAATTAGGTCATGAAGATGGGATGAGATAATGTAAAAAGCCCAAGAAAGTTATAAATGTACAACACTATCTATAGATACTCCAATTTTTAAGTACTGTATATAATTTTTATACTTACAAACTAACCAACATGAACAAGACTTAATTAATTGCTAACTTTAATTCAGTATTTATCAATTTTTTTATCAATACTTACTCACTAAATAAGATATCGTATAGTTTATTTATATATAAAATATAAGCTTTTAATTTCACAAATGCATAATTAGCATATAATTTATATACTCACAGACTAAATTAGAATATTAATTGATTTAGTAAATTGTTTAATAGAAAATACTTAATAAAATATTTTGATACTCACGTGCTAATTTAACAAGAATAAAGCGATATTTAATGAATAAATTTTAAAACTTAAGTTACAGATTTTAATACTTACTCACTAAATTGCATAAAAAATTGTCAAATAATAAGATTCATAATCGCATTGTTTTTAAATAGAATGCAATAATTAAAAAGTCTACTTACAGATTAAGTAAATTTCTGGCTTTCTCTTTATCTTTTATTGTACCAACTCCAAAGAGGTAACAAATCAAAACTTTATGCATTCCTTTAGTGTTATTCATCTTAGCAGATTTTTGATAATATTCAAATGCTTTAAGTTTATTGATTTCAACACCAATTCCCAAATAATAGCAATTGCCAACTTGAAATATTCCATCAGAATTATCCATATTTGCAGATTTTTGGTAGTGAGCAAATGCTTTAAATTCATTTTTTTTAATTTTAATTCCATATTTGTAACGATACCCATGCCAAAATATTTCATAAGAATCCTCTATATTGGAACAAATGCAGCAATTAAAATCTGATTTATTTGAGCTAACTAGGTTTGCTTGCGGGTTTTCTTGTTCCATTTTACTAGATATATTAGCAACTTCCAAAATTCCACTTTTAGCAGATTTTAAGTACCAGTTAAGTGCTTCCTTTTGGTTTTTACCAACACCGACACCGTTCTTATAACATCTTCCGAGGTGAAATTGTCCCCAAGCATTCCGTCCTCTTGCAGACATTAAATAACAACAAATTGCCTTCTTTTCATCTTTGGGAGTACCCTTTCCATTTTCATAACACATTCCAAGTCTATCCTGCCCGTTAGAATTTCCCCTATTGGCTGATTCCAAGTAATACTTGAATGCTTTACTCATATCTTCCTTTACTCCAATACCATAATAATAATAATATCCAAGATAAAATTGTGCAATACCAAGCTCTTTTTTTCCTGCATTTTCTTTTACATTAAGAAATGCATTAAATGCCCTCTCACTATTCTTATTCGTTCCAATTCGACCATGGTAAAATCTTCCGAGTAGACATATTTGCTTTGAATTTGATTTGTTATTTAATAACCAAACAAAAACATTTCTCGATGTTTCATCATTAATAGTAATATATCTTTCAATCTTTTTGTTAATATCATCCTCATTAAAGCCTTCATTATGTAATCTGGAAAAAATTAAAAACAATAAATCCGTAATTCTGGTCATCTTTTCATTTTTACCTGCTTTAACACTGCTGTAACTCTCATTAATGCTCTCTTGGCTTGAATCTTTCTTCCAAGATTCTATGTTTCAAAACAAAATTTACATTTGTATAAATAAAATTTGACGAAAATTATGTGGTTATTTTAAATTTATAATAAATTACCTTTACTAATAGCTACATATTCTTCTAAAAATAAATGCTAGTATCATTTAGAAATTTGGCATAATTATTATGCATTACACTCTAACATACCATCTGTAGTGTCATGATATCTTAAAGATTCAAAAGATTCCACTGTATTATCAACTTTTTCGAACCCAAAATCTATCAATTATCACATTAGACCAGTTTATAAATTAGAACTTGTTAGAACTATAAATGTGCATACCGTTTGAATCCGTATCGAATAACTTTTCAATATTATCAAAATCGCACTCTACAATAAATAAATTATAAATGTTATTTAAATACAAATATACAAGCTTGTGAATTATATCGCCCAATTTCAAAACAATACAAAATCTGCTTAATCAAGTTTTTATTCCATAATATGCTAAGGTAGCAAATAAATAAAATTGACAGTTTTAAAATTACCTAGCATTTCATCTAGCACTGCTAACATAAAAACATCAATATGTTCAGTTATTAAGTACGTTGTAATTTGAGTTTTTTAATTAACAAGGTTATAACATAATAGCTACTATTCACCTTTCGTAAAATTACTTGGCTCTGTAAGATTCTGAAAAGAGTAAATTTCAGATTTTAAAAAATTTCCTGGGCCTTCTCCGGAGGAAATAAATTCTGGAATTGGAATTTCAGCCCTTATAAAATTTCCAGGGCCTTCTCCAGATGAAATAGCTTCTGGAAATTGAATTCCAGCTCTCATAAAATTTTCAGGTCCTTCTCCAGATGAAAAGTTTATTAAGTCATCAAATTTATCCGCAATTTCTATTTTTTTATCCATCATATTATCATTTGTGGTACGTTCAGAGAAACTTTGACATAATGAATATAGTTTTTTAAAAATTGTGCTGGCTTCTGGTCGTTTGTTTGGTATGGCATCCCAACATTGTTTAATTAAATCTGCATATTCAAGTGGAGTTCCATAAGCAATTTCTGGTCGAAGTCCAACAAGAATAGCATTTACAAGAAAAATATCATGTTTTTGACCATAAAAAGGTGGAATTCCGGTAGAAATTGCCCACATAATAATGCCTAAGCTGTAAATATCAGCTTTTGCAGTGTAATGATTTGGTTTATTACATAGTACTTCAGGAGCAATATATGGAATACAGCCATAAACACTGTTTAAAGGCTTATCTTCCGGACCGCAAAAACCTAAATCACTTATTCTTATAATATTTTCGTGAAATAAAATATTGCCAGGATGTAAATCTCTGTGAACTGATTTCGTATTATGTATTGCGTTTAAACAATGCGATATTTTATAGGCAACTCGGCAACGTTCTTTCCACCCAATTCTGGAATTATTTTTTATCAAATATTCTTGTAAATTACAATCCATAACATCTAAAACTAATGAGAAATCCCTAGAATCTCTATCTTTAGTCAATCCATAGCATCTAACAATATTAGTTGCAATCTTATCGATGGTAAAATGTGTTATAATCTGAAATTTTGGATAAATCATTTAAATAATGAATTTTAAACAAGCTGCGATTATAAAATTATTATTATACAATCACCTGATTGTTTTCCGATTACGGAAATATTTGAAAATTTGTGAAATTTGCAGATCATCAAAAAAAAAAAAAATCCACCAATTTTTTTAGGTAATTTCTAAGTGATTTCTGATTTTGAGTGACGAAAGAGAAAACCTGTAAACTGATTCATGTCTGTTCCTAAAAATCTAATCTATATGACGATTGGCTCTTAAAATAATTTTCTTTTAATGAATCCATTATGATGCAAAGCAATAGTGTTATCATAGCGACTAGATCGAGCAGTCGAATAAAACTACATGCAATCATTTGGAATCAATTTATACAGGATCAAATCTGATAAAGTGAAAAGTAGTGAATCGATTTACAGGTTTCCCTTTCCGTTATTCATTTTTTAAAACTACTCCAATATCTGGGTATGAATGTCATATCGGAGTAGTTTTAAGAAATCCGAAAGCACTAAAAATCGGATGATTTATTTTTATTTTTATATTTTTTTTTCGATGATCTGCACTTTACAGTCACACAATCGGACGGCAATCAGGTGATTAGTATAGGTCTATAGATGTGAATAAATTTTAACGTCCTATCTACCTCATTAAGCCAATTACTGGTCGATTTATTTGATTCTTTTAGCTTTTTGAGAATAACGCTATGGTCTCTCGTCCTTTCTAAGGCTTTTTTGTCATAATTCCACTTGTCAAAAGGACCATCTGTCCATATTGCCCTATATATTTCAGCGTAACTACCCTTCGTTATATATTTTGGATTTATTTTAAGTTTTTCATGAGGAATAAATTCGATTATTAAATTCGGCCCCATTGCACGTTTTTGGGCCTCTTTAATTGCACTGTCAATTTTATCGTTGCCAGTCCATTCTTGATAATTTTGCTGTAAGTAATTTCTAATACAAAACTCGCAATATAGTAAGGCACGAGTTTCATTCTTGCAACCATTGCATTGACGCTTTTCACCGTCATTGTAGATGACGCTTAAGTTATCAAATCTTCTTTGAAGCATGTTGAATAAATATTTTCTTTCAAGTTCATTAAGATTTTCATTATTATTGAATTGTGTTCTGAAAAATTTATATTTTTGTTGATTTGTTCTGTAAACACTTGAAGGCATTGACCATGCAGTATCATAATAATAATCTCTTAAAAGCATGTTTAATATATATTGCCTTTCATTTTCATCAAAATTTTCATAATCGGTGAATTCTGTTTTAAGTAATGCGTATCTCTGTTGAGTTGATCCGCAATTGTTTGTATCCATTGACTGTATAGTATCATAAAAATAATCCTTCAATAACATATTCAATAAATACTGCCTTTCATTTTTATTAAGTTTTTCGTTATTGACAAATTGTTTTTTAAGAAATTCATATTTCTGTTGATTTGTTTTGTGAGTGTTAGTATCCAGCGATCGCACAGCGTTATAAAAATGCTCTTTTAGAAATTTCTCATTTATATCGCTTAATCTAATATAAGCAAATTAGAAATTTTATTATCAACAAATTTTATGCAAATTAATAATTTAGTGATGTTATTACCTTTCACTTTCATTAATATTTTCATTTTTAGCAAGATCTTCATACTTCTGTTGATTTGTTTTGTGAGTGTTAGTATCCGGTGATCGTACAATGCTATTAAAATGTTCTTTTGGAAAATTTTCTATGATATCGCTTAATCTAATATAAATATAGAAATTTATTCTCTACAGATTTTATGCAAAATAAATCCAAAATATATAACGAAGGGTAGTTACGCTGAAATATATAGGGCAATATGGACAGATGGTCCTTT